CTCAAGAATTTTCAACAGTTCAGCTCTTGCTCAATGATGACCATAATTGACAGCATACTTGAAAAATGAAGCATGCTCCAAGATCAATTGGGTCAAATGTGAAGGATTAAAAAATTACACAAGAAATCAAGTAGCTTCCACAAGAGTATCTGTGAGAATATAGAATATATTATTGTGTGTTGTGTACAAATTAGAGTCCTATTAGAGACATGATTGTGTTAGAGTCCTGTTAGAAACATAATTATAATTGTATTTGTATTTTCCTTTTTGGTTTAGGATTTAGGGCTATATAATCTAAGGTCTGATTGTAATCTTTGATACATTGAATATATGAGATACAGAAAACTATTCAGAAATCTTACGTGGTATCAGAGCCGTTCTCTGATCCGAAACCCTAGAGCCGTCTCCATTACTCTTTTGTTCGTGCTCGTGCTTGCTTCTCCCAGGCTCATTCTGGTTCGACTTTGGTGTGTGATTGTGCCTCATCTCAGTTGACTCATCTGCTCATTCTGGTTCGCGACCCATCTGCTCGTGATTGTGCCTTGTCTTCGTCAACCCATCTGGATTTCTTCTCTGTTTGTGCTATTTGGTAGTCGCACCCATCCAACGGTTCGACCCATCTAGTCATCGCCTCCTCACAGCTCGTCTTCTCTCTCTGGCTCTCCTTCGTGGTCAACCCATCTTGGTTTTGCAAGACTTTGATCCATCTCTAGTTCAGTCTGTCGAAACCCCTAGTTCTCTCTCTGGTTCGAAGCTCTCCGGACAAATTTCGCGACCTAGCTGATTCGCAAGTCTTTGACTCGCGACTTCTTCTCGCTGCTCTCTGCCTCGCGATTGTCCCTGGTGTATGGTTCTCTGGTTGCTTCGTCGCATCTACTGGTTGCATCGAAGTGAAGTTACCTCTCAGCTTCTCTCACTCCAAAGGGTTATGTTTGAGGCTGGTTCGACCCATTGGATTTTTGCATCTGAAATCCTCTAATATTGGATTATTGTCATATTATTTTCTGATATTACATTTAGACCTCGTACTCTTTTGGTTGTTATACTGTGATGTTGGATATATTGGTTTTGTTGCCCCCATTAGCTTTCAGTTTATTATGATAATGACAGTTTCTGCTTCTGTAAAGCCCAAGAAAGGGCTCCTTGCTTCAGATGAGTGTGCCAACTGCCATCAAAGGGGTCATTGGAAGTACCATTATCCCAAGAATGGATGTCTGCCTGTTCAATCTCCTGCCGATTTTACTGCATCTGCTCTGACTCCTGATCCTGACTTAACTTCCTTGACTGCTCAGATTAGTCAGCTTCGGCATATATTGTCTAACTCCCAGCCATCCCCATCTACCTCCATTGTTTCCTCTCTTCATTCAGGTTTGCTTGGGTCTTCTTCAGGTATTTCTTCGTCTGTCTGGCTTTTTGACTCTGATGCCTCTCATCATATGACTCCCCATCTCTCTTTACTTCAAAATTGCACTCCTCCTCCTTTTCCTATTACTGTCAATACTGCTAATGGGTCTGGTATGTCTGTTATATCTGTTGAGTCTGTCCTACCGTCTTCTATATCTGCTGTCTCTATTCCATCTGTTCTTTATGTTCCTCAATTATCTGTCAGTTTATTATCTATCAGTCAACTTGACGCCTTTGGTTTTGATGTTATCTTTTCCTCTTCTATCTGTTCTGTGCAGGATCGGATGTCTAAGCAGCAGATTGGGACTGGTCGTAGAGTTGGGGACCTCTATGTAGTAAAGAGCTTGCATCTGCCTTTGACAACCTCTCCAACTGCCTTTTCCTCTTTTCAGTTAGATTCTCTGTCCAGTCCTTTCTACTTATGGCATTCTAGATTAGGGCATTTGTCTGCTGACCGCTTGCGGTCTTTGGCTCAATCAGGTATCTTGGGAAAAGTTTCTCCTAGTGAACTTACTGAATGTCAAGGGTGTAAACTCGCCAAGATGACAGCCTTACCTTTTCGTAAAAGAATTTCTATATCTGATACACCATTTTCTTTAGTTCATACTGATGTTTGGGGCCCTTCTCCTATTCTCACCAAAGGGGGTTCTGCATACTATGTGTCATTTGTTGATGACTGCACCCATTACACTTGGGTTTATCTTATGACTCATAAGTCTGATTTCTATCAGATATACCGTACCTTTCAGTCTATGATTACTACAGAGTTTGGGTCTACTATTAAAGTGTTACGGTCTGACTTGGGTGGGGAATATTTTAAAACTGAGTTTTGTGCGTATTTGGCCAATTTGGGTACCATTCACCAAACTTCCTGTACAGATACACTTGTCCAAAATGGTCACACTGAGCGTAAACACCGTCATCTCCTTGAGACAGCTAGGTCTCTTCTTCTCTCTGCCTCAATTCCGGCTCCATTCTGGGGGGAGGCAGTTCTTACTGCTGCTTTTCTTCTCAATCGCATGCCTACTCCCATTCTTTCTGGTCGGTCTCCTTATGAGTCTTTGTTCTCCCAACTTCCTAACTACTCCCTCCTTCATGTGTTTGGGCCTGCCTGTTTTGTCCTTCTTTCCCGCAAAGATAGGACCAAACTTAGTGCCCGATCTGTCCTCTGTGTCTTTTTGGGTTATAGTCCTACTCAGAAAGACTATCGGTGTTACGACCCTGTTTCCCGTCGTCTTTATGTCTCCCGTCATGTTTCTTTTCTCGAACGTCTGCCTTACTTTCAGCTTCCTCCGTCACTGCTCCGGTTTCCAAAGAGGATTTGGTTCACATTGACCCATTTCCTTCTGAGGTACCGTCTGATGAGTACATCTCCACAGTTCCTTCTGAGCTTGTTTCATCTTCTCCTCCTGCTTCACCTCTGGCTGCTTCTCCTCCTTCAGTTTGTTCTCCTTCCCCATTGTTAGTTTATTCTCGTCGCAAGGCTCCTCCTCCACCAGTTGTTTCTACCCCTACTGTTGATCCTCCTGCTGCTACCGACTTTGATCCTGCTGCACACCGATATCCTACTCGAGCGCGTCATCCTCCAAACAAGTTAGGTTGGTCTAATACATGTTTTTCTGCCTCTTATCGTACTTTTTTGTCTGCTATTCACTCTTTTTCAGAACCTCAGTCTTACAAAGAGGCATGTCAAGACCCTCATTGGATTCACGCTATGGACGATGAGTTGTCTGCTCTACAGAAAACTAGTACTTGGGAGCTGGTTCCTTTACCTGCTAGTAAGAACTTGGTTGGTTATAAATGGGTCTACAAAGTCAAGACTCATTCTGATGGGTCTCTTGAGCGCTACAAAGCTCGTCTGGTTGCCAAAGGTTTCTCTCAGGAGTATGGTATTGATTATGAGGAAACATTTACCCCTGTTGCCAAGATGACTACTGTCCGTACTTTAATCTCTGTCGCTGCTATTCATTCTTAGCCTCTTTATCAGATGGATGTTAAGAATGCTTTTCTTAATGGTCATCTTACTGAGAAGGTTTACATGCGTCCTCCTCCTGGCCTTCACCATTCCTCTGGTCAGGTTTGTCGTCTTCAGCGTGCTCTGTATGGTCTAAAGCAGTCTCCTCGTGCTTGGTATGATCGATTTTAGACTGCTGTTACCGAGCTCGGGTTTCATCCTTCTGCTTCCGACTCTGTTTTATTTCTACGACATACATCGGCTGGTTTTGTTGCTCTCTTACTCTATGTGGATGATATGATCATCACTGGCTCGGACTCTTCTGCTATCTCTGAGGTCAAGCAGCATCTCTTCCGCACCTTCGAAATGAAGGATCTAGGTCCATTACGGTATTTTCTTGGTATTGAGGTTGCTTCTTCTCCCAAAGACTATTTTCTGTCTCAGGCCAAGTATGCTAATGAAGTCATTCATCGTGCTGGTCTTACTGATATTAAGGTTTCTGATACACCTATTGAGCTTAATGTGAAGCTTAACTCTATTGATGGTGTCCCTCTGGATGATCCCACTTTATATCGCGAACTTGTGGGTTGTTTAGTTTATTTGACTGTCACTCGTCCTGATTTTGCTTATATTGTTCATGTGGTTAGTCAGTTCGTTTCTGTTCCTCGCTCTACCCATTGGACTGCTTTGGTTCGCGTTCTTCGTTATCTCAGGGGTACCATCTTTCAGGGCTTATTGTTGTCCTCTACTTCCTCTTTAGACTTAGTGGCTTATGCTGACTCTGATTGGGCCGGTGATGTTACTGATCGTAAGTCTACGTCTGGTTTCTGTATGTTTCTTGGAGATTCCTTGATCCCTTGGAAAAGTAAGAAACAATCAGTCGTTGCTCGCTCTACTACCGAAGCTGAGTATCGTGCTATGGCTCATGCCACTGCTGAGATTGTTTGGCTTCGTTGTCTCTTGTCTGATTTGGGTGTCTCTCAGTCTTCTCCAACACCTCTCTATTGTGACAACCGCAGTGCTGTTCAGATTGCCCACAATACTGTCTTTCATGAACGGACGAAACATATTGAGATTGATTGTCACTTTGTTCGCCAACATCTGCAGTCTGCCTCTATCTCGCTTCCTTTCATCCTTTCGGCTTTGCAACTTGCGGATTTCTTCACCAAAACTCACACTACCGCTCGGTTTCAGTTTCTTCTTAGCAAACTCTCAATGTTTTCTGCTAAAACACCTTGAGTTTGAGCGGGGGTGTGAGAATATAGAATATATTATTGTGTGTTGTGTACAAATTAGAGTCCTATTAGAGACATGATTGTGTTAGAGTCCTGTTAGAGACATAATTATAATTGTATTTGTATTTTCCTTTTTGATTTAGGATTTAGGGCTATATAATCTAAGGTCTGATTGTAATCTTTGATACATTGAATATATGAGATACAGAAAGCTATTCAGAAATCTTACAGTATCAACACTGTAACAATAATCCATGGACTAACAGCCTAAATATTGAGCATAATTTTTAATTGGTACAGAATATGCAGAAAGATTTGTTTCAAATAGAAGGGAGAGAGACATAGAAAAAGAACGAAAAAAGTGAATATGATTAAAAAAAAAAAAAAAAAAGACAAAGAAAATCAACCTTCCATCCATCCTTCAGGCGCATTGAAAACTCTAACATGATTATCAAGAAATTGTGTATCAGATCTTCTATGTCTCCCAAGCTTGAAGAATTTGAATTGTTACTTGCACCTTTCTGTGGGAAGAACTAATATAATTAAAATACATAACAGAAGAAATGCACCAAGTCAAGAGTTCTACAGATAATAACACCATCACCACCAGAAAGTACTGATTATGTGTCATTTTTTAGCACCAAATTTGAAAAAGGAAAAACAATAATGACAAAGAACTTTCAACATTGAGGATGAAAAAAAATTACCTCATAATTTGAAATAAGAATCTCCAAAATCCACTCGGGCCATTCCTCCATTGTAGTGAGACTACTTCTATTTTCTGGATGACTGCAAGCTAAAATCAGAAGATCCTGAAATCAAATAAAAGGGAACAGATAAGAAACTATAAATAAATATAAAAAAAGTAAGTCAATAAGCAACAAATCAAGTGGAAAAAAATACGTCATTGCAAATTAATTCATAACTAAATTTTCCAATCCTGCAACACTGCACACCCAAATACAAAGATTGTACTAAAACAAGTTATCCAGCTGAACAAATAGTACCGTCCAAACAATGCCCTTGTGTGATAACTGGAGGCTTTGTATCCAGTCATCACTCAACGTTGAGTTTGAAAATGCAGCTTTAAGAAGGCCAGGGATAGATACATACCCAATCCACCCATCCTATAACCTAAGCGACAAGACCAGCACTACGCAATGGCCTTAATTTGTGAATGGTAATGACACATTGCATTAAACTCACTCATTTTTTAGGATCCCACAGTCCTGGTTCCAAACAATATCAATGTCACACTGAATTGTATGCACACAGCATAGAAATACAATGCTTAATTCAACTCAAAAGGCCTAGTCTCAGCTATTCAGGCCACAACAAAAATATAATAAGTCCACACTTAGAATGACAAACCAAAAGATAGTACCTGCAATGCCCGACTTTGAAATGCCCTAGGTGCATATGGAAGTGAACGCAAAAGAACCAATAAAAGTTGTAAATGTTCAAAGTGATGACCAGAATCATAAAAGTTTAGCCCATCCTCCGTTGAAGAAGCATTTATCTGAAATCAGAATACAATATACATTGACATCAGATCTGTCGATTAAACAAATATAACTATGCAGCTGCAAAATTCAAAGATAAACTTGGGATTGCTTAAAAAATAGATAATAATCTGTTATGGTGACTGGTGAGTTCATAATGATGTTTTACAAGGGATCCTGGAGTAACACTAAGCACATACAAAGTCAACAAATGGAACTTTATGTAAACTTGAGCAGAAACTAACAAAGCAATATGTGATGTGGTTTAAAAAGAAACGAGAAATTGCATTTCCAAGAATACGAGACAGATACCATTTAACCTCTCCTCCCTCCCCCAACAGGATTGGGGGGTGGGTAAGATTATACACAATAAAATTGTTGGGAAAGCATCTGCAATTTATGAATTGATAACTGGTAGAAGAAGAAACAGTTTTGTCATACCGAGGCACCTAATAAAGCCGTGTAGACATTACTAGTCATAAGCCTGTTTGGTGCTGCTTGGAGTGCCTTTTGTAGAGAAAAAAGGAGAAGAGAAACTTTATCATCAAACATGGTACCACCTGCCTCATACAAACTCGGAAGGTTGCCGGTCGCATCTGGAGGAGCATGTAAACCAAGTTTCAGATGTCCTGATGTAACTAATGCACCTAACAGGCCAATAATCCCAACAACAATACCATCACTTTTGTCAACATTATAGACATTATTCCTTGCATTGTCAGCACTTATAGAAAAACTTATACCACCCAAATTTTTTAATAAAGGGTTCTCAGAGACAGAGGTCATTCTCTCAATGCTTGAAGGTGTTGAAAAACCAACAGAATTGCCACTACGATTGAAAGATTCAAGGTCAAGTTCCTTTTCTTGCGAAGTCAATTCTTTTTCCACTGGGGATCCTACTACATCATCCCCATGACTGTTTTGCACCACCTCACTACTATTATCTATTCCAGATCCTTGGGAAGACAATGTTACGTCATCCACAATTGAAGTGTCTGGGTGGTCAATGTCTCCAGCTTTTGCTTCCCTCTGCAGTAGGACAAGAAGTGTTTCTATCCCACCACATGATATAAATGCTTCGGCAAACGTCTGGGCCCTAGATGTATTTGGTTGTACCACCAACCTGTAGATCAGGTGCAACACCCTGGCAACCTGGATGAAGACAATTATAGGAATAAAATCATCAGAAGTTAGCTCACTCATCAGAATTAAAATATATGCATATATTGAGAACTTCCAATCCATATAAAAACCTTGTGTACAATTGGGCTTGTTTTTACTCTATTTGTGCTTTTGATTAATAATATTTCATTTTTTTCCGATAAAAAATTGTTCTAGTCCATTTTCAACTAGTGGGTGGAAGTGCACAAGACAGTTAACAAAAAGATTTAAAACTCGCACCAAAACAAGAATGCTTAAAGAAAAACAAATCGAAAGAGGATGGAGAAGGTCGAGGAATTGCTCACTTTATTCATCAGACATTTTGATCCCCTTTCACTCTCACCTCTCCTGGTTTTGGCACAAGTAAGGATGCATGAAAGGAAATCAAACAAAAAAGTGGTACGAGAATCTCCAGGAATTGTTGTATTTATAATTATATGAATTAGCTAAGCATTTGAAAGCATCTAGAGTTACGATATCACCATGTTCTAGGTATATGCTCCTTTGTGGCATTCCACCTAAACATATTAAACTTTATGAGAATAAGATAGAAATTTAAGAGTGAGTGTGTGTGAGAGTGAGAGTGAGAGTGCAAGTCAGAGTGAGAGTGAGAGAGACGATCTCTCTAAGAAAATATCTCAACCACATACATTGACAATAACAAATGAATCTTGGAAGAACCACAGTGATCTCACAACCAAACCAAACCAAACCAAGCCAAGCCTTACGTCCCATCAAATAAGGTCGGCTACATGAATCCTTCTTCTCCACGCAGCCCTATGTTAGTGAATAGGTCTCGGACAAGGGGATCCATTCTCTCCATTTCTTTGCGTTTTTGTAATGGAAGTTCTTAGCAGGTTGATCAACGAAGAGAGCAAGGGGGTGTGTGATTAACAATTCTGAAGTTGGTAGAACATGGAGCGAACCGGTTTCAATACGACATTTTCTGTGACCAGAAGAAGAACAGCTGAGCTATCTCAAAAGTATTCTGGTTTGTTTTAAGGTTTGAGATATCTCAAGAGTGTTTGATTTGTTTTAAGGTAGTCTCAAGCCTAAAGATGAATGTGAGGAATAATAAAATGGTCCCAGTCAGAGAGGCATAGGCCCCGTTTGTTTTCAGAGGTAGAATGGAGGGGGTTAATAGTGAGGGAATTGATAGTGAGGAGATTAAGTAAAATTGTGTTTGTTTTGATGATAACTGTTAGTGTAAGAATTGTTAAATTATTTTTATATAAAATAATAAAACAAATAAAAAATATAAAAAATTAAATATTAATATTTTAAAAAAATTCTCAATATATAAAAAATAAAAATAAAATAAAAAAAATTCTAATCCCCTCACTATTTTTCTAATACCATCTCTATCTCCTCCATCACAATCCCCTTTCCAAGGCCTTTACTAATGCCAAGGGATTAGGAGTCTCCTCCCCATCTCTCAAAACAAACACCCCATATAGTAGTCCCACCTCACTATCAATCCCAATCCCCTCTCTATAACCCCAAACAAACAGGGCCATAGGGTATTCATGGTTTGGCAAGTTGCTTGAGCTTTCTGGTGGGCTCCCTTCCACCTTAGTCGAGGCTCCATTGTGTTTCATTTCCATCTTATAGTTTGGGGCTCCTCCTTGGTTATGCATTCAAAGTTAAGACAGAATCAAAAGTATCATCGAACTACTAGAGAGGAGATTGGTGAGTTTGAATTGGTAATATTTTTTAAAGGGTGGTAAGCTACTCTTATTAAAAGCAGCTTTTTCTAGCTTGGCAATATATTTTGTGTCTATCTGCACACTTCAAGTGGTTGTGGCAATTGGAGACTTCACAAGGAATTTCTGTGGTAAGATCTTCGCAACAGATTCAAGCATAATTTAATGGATGCAATTTAATGTACTCTTTCAATCAAAAAAGGCAAGCTGAGCATACGTAAATTTGTGCACATTGATAAGGTTTTATGGGGGGAAGTGACTATTGGCATAAGTATCACATCTTATTGTTAGTGGAAGAGAGTGGTGGATTTGAAAAAGAGAAAGGTTGGACGTCTATGGTGGTTAGGAGATCATATGAAGTGGGCTTATAAAAAAAGGTTAGTGGAAGAAAGTGGTGGATTTGAAAAAGAGAAAGGTTGGACGTCTATGGTGGTTAGGAGTATGAAGTGGGCTTATAAAAAAAGGTTAGTAAGATTTGATTACAAAGAGAAATTTATAGCTGGTCAGAGCCAATGAATTTTTTTACACATAATCTATGATGCGGGGATATACCTCTCTCAAAGGCATTTCTAGAGTAACATCAAAATGCAATGTAAAAAAGCTGTAGTCGCTAATTACATGCGGCTCACAAATTCTAAAGTTGTAGATTCAATTTTTACCTCGACAATTTGGGAAAGAGCAATTTTATACTCCCTAATTGGTGTTGCGTGTGCACGAAGGGAGAGATAAGTCAATTATCTATTACTTCATTACAATGTGGCCAGAGGTTTGTGATGTTATTATCTATTTTTGGGTAAAATATGGTGATTTTAGATTTAGTACTCCTCTTTTATGAGTTAAGAGAGAGGATTGCCACTCTAACAGGGTGAGAAAAGCATGGATGGTAGCTCCTTTATGACTTATGTGGTCTATTTTTGTGATAACTCTTTTTCTTTTATTGATTCTACAGGGGGGTTCAGTTCTGCAGGTGGAATATAGTTTTGAGCTAGCATATGCATCCAATGTACAAAGGTTGCACCCTTAGTACCACTTTTTTCTTCG